ACTTTCACAGTCCACACACATCACGTCTTAGTTTAACAGGGTGTAACGTACGGACAGAGACGGTCGGATCCATGTGCAGCACTTTATTGTACTTGAACATAAACTGAAATCAAGCAGGCACACAAACAAAGCAAGGGGCAATCCAGAAACTTGTGGTCTAAACAGGCAATGGTCGAGGCAGGCAGCACAGGTTCACAAACAGTCCAGTAAACAGGCTAAGGTCGAGAGTCCAGGGAAACACGGAATACACAAAAGGAGAAAATGCTCAGAGATGTACGCTTACAGGGTAACAAGACTTCGCAAGGGAAACAGGGAAAACTCAGGCTTAAATAAGGAACTCAATAACCAATAATGAAACACAGCTGAACATAATAAAACACAAAGAGTCCATGGGGAAACATAACATGGGGAGAGAGTGCCCTCTAGACGCTCTCGAGGGCACCACGGCTGCTGATCGTCACACAGGGGTTCTATGGCTAAAGTGTATAACATGTCTGACAGCGCACAGCCTTGTCTGACACCCCTGTACACACTAAACATAGACCATAAGTCACCATTAAACTTTAATATACTCTCAATGCCACAATACATAATTTTAATAATTTCAATAAACTCTGAACTAAAACCAAAGGCTTTTAAAACACTCCATAAATAAATATGCTCAACTGTGTTAAAAGCTCTTGATCGATTCATATCATTCCATCTCCGTCAAAGATTTTTCCACAGTCAAAAATATCTCTGATAAAAGAAACATTATCAAATATTATCCTTCCTGGTAACTAATATGACTGATCTGGATGAACAATTGATTCAATGACTTCCCCCAATCTGATTGCCAAAGCTTTAGACAATATTTTGTAGTCGATACATAATAAACTTACATGGCTCTATTTTTGGATGTTGTTTAAATCTCATTTTTTAGGCAATAAAGTAATAATTGTTCCCCAGATGTTTCTTGGCAGTTGTCCATTTGCCAGATTCTCATTAAAAAAATATCACCAATTCTGGACCCATTTACCAAAAAGATTGTATAATGCCATCAATACCTAATGCTTTTCCAATTTCCCATTTTTAAGGGCATTTTCAAGCTCTTTTTAGTTTTAGTTTTCTGAGATAACTTAAACATAACAATTCTAAATTACCATCTTGCTCTTCAGAAATTTCACTTTTATACAACTCTTTATGAAAATGTACAGCTCTTTTCTAAATATCTGAGGGATTTGTCAACAAAATCCCTTCTTCCAACTGCAAGGCCTTTTTCAGACCGTTCTGTTTTTCAAGACTGAAAAGGAATTTTGAAGGAGCATCCATTAATTCTGCACTTTGAAAGCGAGATCTAATGATAACACCTAGTATTGTACAACCTAGCATATCAGATAACAAATTATTTTTTTGTGCATATGTGGCATCATTTGTGGACTCTGCAAGCTCTTGTAGCTTCATCAACTCTTCTTCTAACATTCTCATTGACCTATTTATGTCTCTTGTGGCATTGTGAGTATATTGTTGACACAATTGTTTGATCAGAATTTTTACAAAATCCCACCACTGCTGCAATGTTAAGAAGGATGATTTCACAGCTTTAGCATTTGTCCAACTCTTTAAAAACTTCTCTAAAAAAAGTGTCAGATAATAAATGATTGTTAAAATGCCATAAGCACTTTTTGATTTGAAAAAAAGAAAAAAAAAAACTTTTTGCTACCACCCATTTTATCAAGCTGTGATCAGTAAAACAAACCGGACTTATTGAACATTCTCTAAGCGATGTCGGGTGACGTGACTTCTTCTTGACGTTTAAAGTATTTTCAAACAAAACGGACGCTAGATAGACCCTCCCTCCTCCTCATCTGCGCACTGACCCCCCAAACCCCACCCCCAGGGCCTTCTTGTCAGTTATTGGCTGGAACAGTTTGTTATGTTTCGTGGAGCGGGTTGCCGCAGTTTGTCTTTGTTGCCATTTGTGGAACCTGGGTTGTCTGCATAGACCACTTTTTTTTTTTACAGAGTGTTTAAGGGACAGGCAGCTAGCGGATAGTGAGGAGATGTTTGCTGTATGTGACAAAAAAATGTTTTGGCCTAAAAGACGTGTGACATCTCTTAGAGCACCTTAAATTGATGCTTAAAGTCCCTGTAAAGTCAAAATTAAGTATGTGTTCTGAGTTTGTCACACCACAGAAAAATGTGTAATTAGCCACCCAGCCAAATTTGAATGAAAAAAAAGTCGGGAAGTACATAAAATAATCTATCAAAATCATGAAAAAATGAGCAGATTCTCTGCTCTCAAACGCTGGGGGCGTGTCCGCTGGCTGTGCTGAAACCACACCCACTCACGGGAAAGCTGTTGACGGTGATATTAGCTGATTAGCTTTTGGAGACGGGAGGATGAAAGCTGAGGCGGGAGATCGTCGTTTCGGCCCCGTTCACCAGTAACAGCGGATTATCAGTGAATCCAAGTTGTCTCTGAGGAAAGTTTATAAAACGATCCAGTGTAAAATGATCACTACAGAGGCGGGTGTTGGCGGTGATCAGCTCTTCATCAAGGTAACGTTAGGCTCTCTAAAAACCTCTTCTTGATGTGATCGTTTTTAAGGGAATTTAAATGAAGATACCGATCTGTTTTGTACATGATCGCATCCAGGTAGTAGCCCATGCATGTCCGTGTCGAAGGCATAGCTAGCTAGAAAACTGTAATAATAATAATAATAATCAGACTCAGTGCGTCATCAAATAGGGGGCTGTCCAGAAGCTCATGGGTTCCAGTGCGTCACGGAGCCCTGTTTTAGCCCCGCCCAATTAATCCGTAAAATTGCAATGGTGAAAAACTGTTTAACGGTCTAACTCCACAATTCAGTACTTCACAGTTCACAGACTTTGTAATATGTTTTAGCAATACATAAGTAACATTTATAATGCGTTTAGAACTTTTTTGTAGAATTGACTTTACAGGGACTTTAAAATCATAGAATCTATCAAGCCTGGTTAGCGATAACTGATTTTCATGAGCCCAAGTCTACCGTCTCTGTATACTCTCCATATATCAATTATGCTATGAGACTTTTTTCTTTGGATTAGCCTCTTTCTTGATTGCATATGTGATTCAACATGATTCCGATCTATGACATCTTCATTCCATTTAAAATCCCCCCTAACATTAAAAAATCATCATTGTTACACAAATTTAAAACATAATTTCAAATACAGCTTTAATCTTCCTTTACATTTTTCTTCTACACTACAGGAATATGGAGAAAATTCTTTAGAAAATAATACTGCAACTCCACCACTCAATGAGGTATGATCACCAATCAAATTATTTTACCCATTCTACAGCATTTGATACATCAGTATGTGTCTCTTGTACAAACAACACATCAATTTTCATATATTTTATTATTTCAAATACTTGAGCTCTCTTCTTAAAAATCTCTTGCTCCGTTAACATTCAAGGAAGCAAAATGTATTTCCCCCATAAAGGATAAAGAAAGAGATAAATATAATTAAATTCTTTATGTCGAAAATTTTCGATCAGATCAGGTCAAGTTCCTCAACGTTGTCTTTCAGTACCATTTAAACATAATGCCTAAAAGACGCCACGTTTCAACAACGATGACTTACTTCCAATTAAAATCATCTTAATGGGAGAGACGAGTTTCCCATACCTCGAGAGCATTCCAACTAGAACTTCATTCTTGATGAACGGTGGCACATCAGATAACGTTACTCTTTTAATGCCGTGGAAAGAGGTAGCACTGAGGTAAAAAAAATCCCACCAATCTCTACACCACTCTCCACCAAAAAGTTCGGCAATTCGATCGTCTTAAAGGTTCTCTGAGCGATCCTGGGTGTTGACGTTCGGAATATTTTCAAACAAATCGGAGGCTAGCTAGACCCTCCCTCCTCCGCATCTCATCTCCTCCCCCTCCCTTCCGTGCTTCTTGAAATAATTGTGAACGTGCATTTCTAGCTAATTATATCCTTGTGTGGGTTTGGCGAACATAAGCGTCAATTTAGAAGAAAAAAAACAATTTAACGTTACCCACCTGTCCAGCAAAAACAGAGCAACATGAATGTCGGACTGGAAGCCCTTCTGCCGCCGGAGTTCTCGCCATCGTTATCGTTCAAAAGCTTTGCTACCGATGTAAATTCGGAACTTCGCACGTTCTTTATCCGACTCCTTCTTCTTTTTAATTTGTTCCTCAGAACGACGTCTCTTTGGTCGTGTCGGCCATTTTTCAAACTTCCCTCTTATGCTTCTCTCTCCTTCACACACACCCCCCCTTCATGTGCACGCGCACTAACCCCCCAGACCCACCCTCAAATACTTCTTGCCAGTGATTGGCTGGAACACTGTTTGTTAGGTTTCGTGGTCCGGGTGAGACTCCGGTGATTGTTTTTGTTGCCGTTTTCGGAGCCTGTGGTGTCTACAGAGACCGCGTTTTTTTACAGTGTGTTTAGGGGACAGGCAGCTAGCCGATAGTGAGGAGACGTTTGATATATGTGACAAAAAATGTTTTGGCCCCACATCGCTTAGAGAACCTTTAACAAACAAAACAATTGCGTTGTTCATTCGTGACGCCGATAAAACATTCTCATGACCAACTACTGCACTTACCTCTAAACTACACTCATCTATACTTGCAGTAACATCGATTTTCACGCAGTGACGCCTCATTAGAAACTCCAAACTTTCCACACTGGGAGCTGACATTCTCCCAGTACACCACCTGGGAGTCAATCTAACCCAAAATAACCACCTTCCTCACCAATATTACCTAAAAACCCAATATACTAAAACATAGAAAAGGGTAGAAAAAGTTTTTCAAACAGTTTTCCGTAACTTACACTGCCATCACACACTCTACATCCACGCACCTCACTCACACAGAGAGAGAGAGAGAGAGAGAGAGAGAGAGAGAGAGAGAGAGAGAGAGAGAGAGAGAGAGAGAGAGAGAGAGAGAGAGTGACACATTTGGAATCAAAATGATATTTTTGGAGCTTACTTTGATAAGGTCTCCCAGCAGCTTGTTGGCTTCAGCGTAGGCTTTCTTCACCTCTTTGAACTTGTTACCGAGGCCCATGCTGTGGGCCTGGAAGTGAAGGTTGGTGTACTGGCCCCCTGGGATCTCATTTTCATAAACATCTGCATTACCAGACTTCATTGTAGCGGTGCAGTCGAAGGGAGCGTACAGACCACGGGCCACTTCCCAGTACTCGCTGTAGTCAAACACTCTGTCCAGAGAAACACCTGTGTGACAGTGACAATACAGGTTTGTAACACTTCTCCTGTAATATAATAAGCTATACGACTTCAGACAGCTTATTAAAACAATATGATATATTATTATAAGACACCAATTTTCATTAAAAAAAGACATACTCCTTTGTTTTAATGTATTTTAAAAAAATGTTTAACAGCATGATTGCTGGTCAAGACACTGCACAAGATCCAGCAGATAAATATCGACCAATCATAAAACTGCTATGAGCAAAATGCTAAAAGAGCTCTACAGCGTCTGCCCACTCCCATAAAGCACAGCAAATTTCATTATACTCATAACTACTTATATTTCTGTATCTTTTTATATTGTCTTTTTGTCTGAATTTCTTGTTTGTTTGTTTTTATTTCAAATCAAAGTTTGTAATATTAACTCAAAGCTGGCAGATTGTTTATTTTTTTATTTCAAGTGTCAAATTGAATGAAATTTTTTTTGGAACCAATGCAATATTAAATGTGTACAGGCACTGTTGAGCTCCATTACATGGCTCTCTGGAATGCTCGATTTTTAAATATTTTTAATTATATATCATTCTTATATTATACAATATATAATTAATTTATAATATGATAAATATTTTTGACCGTAAAAGTTATATGTCTAAAACAGTCTATAATAATAATAATTCATACATAGCAGGGGTAATGGTGCTGGTTCTCGTATTACATAGAAAAACATAACTAATATTTCATGTCTGTTTATTTATTTGGTAAGTAGCCACATAATTAGCAGGAAAATGTAAACTGTACAGTCAGCCAGACAGCGATGATCGCCCCATGCAGATCAGAGGTCTGTATTGACTGTACATTATCCTTTGTTTTAGACTAAGTGTAGGATGCTTACAAGCAAAACAATGATCAAAAAATCATGCAAATTAAGTACAGGTCACAATTTTGGCTATATCAATTATTTAACCATAACTATGCCAAGATCATAATATGAATTTCTTATTCACACAAGCTGTGACATAAAAACTGCCTTTTAAAATCTGTTTAACAAGACAGTGACTACTCAGAGTAATTTGTGAATAGAGTCACTTAGTCATCTGTAAAGTTGTCATTTTAAACATAGGAAAGAAAGAAATACATTAAATATGGAAACGGTTGAGCTGAAAGTATTAATTCAGTGCAATTAACAACCCTGTCCTTTTAAATGCATTTAAGTGGTAGTGTTAGAAGCTCTCTCTCTCTCTTTTGCTAGAAACATTTGACTGACTGATATAGCTGTCCTAATCTGACACATCTCAAAACACACCATCAATCCATCAATAAAGACCCCACATAAAGTCAGACTGTAATAATCAATGTGGATTTAATTAAGCCTGATGCCACAATAATCATCTTTCCTGTCTTCAGGCGCCACACACGTACACACACGCACGCCACACACACACACACACACTTCATAAGTGAGAAGCTCTCTGCTATTATAATGTTCCTACTGGGTTCGCATCACTCCAATAGACGATAGTAACCAATCCATTAAGCAATGTCAATGTACATTGTGTGCTGAACTCTATCATTCTCTAATGTGTCACTACAGTAGATAAATGGCCCTAAATGCCCCCGTAATGACTGCGCATTTATGAACATATGAAGTATGTATTTATGTGTGCTTGCATGATCTATAAATGACAGTGCAATATGGACCAGTTGATTTTTTTTTTGTAGTTTTTTTCCTGTATACAGAGCTTTGGGCCATCACAGAGACAAGTGTGATTTCCCAAGGCACCTATTTCAGTGATATCTGTCAAGTATTAGGGATATTTTATGCGTGATATTCTAAGAAAAATGCTTACAGCAGATTTAAGACAAGGCTCTAAACAAATCGTGGCATTCAACTTTCACAGCACTGGTGAACAGTCAGCCTCCCTATCCCCCCCCCCCCCACCCCCACCCCCACACACACAAACACCAGCCTATGGTGGTGGCTTAGCCAAGCGTGATTAATCTGGTCTGTTTTGATGGTTTTAGAGGGGTTTTGGGTACTTTATGACTGGGAGACAATCTGGCCGACCATCTAATAGAACACAAACTTGGATAAGGATGCGAGTATGGAAGCCTGTTTCCACCTCAGAACAATCAAAAGTTAATTGTGAGATAAAGCTCAAAATTATGTCAGATTGTAAAACAAAGTTGGATAAAGTGATGATTAGAAAAATCACATTGTGAGATATAAAGTCACAATGCGAGATTCAAAATCACACTGTGAGATATTTGGGAATGAAGACTTTAGGAAGGATTTAGGAATAATGTTATTATTAGGTTAAGGGTATAGGTTTATGGCAAGGGTTCCGATTAGGCAGTTAGTTGTGATGGGAAGGGTTAGGGTAAGGAGCTAGAGAATAGTGAATAAATGCCCTGACAAAGATAGATGTACAAGAATATGTGTGTCAGGGTGTTTGTGTGTGTGTAAGAGATGGAGAGAAAGAAAGAGAAAAACAGAAGACTGAAGACAAATCAGAGAGTCATTTAACAGTGAACACAAAGGGTTTGCACAGGGATAATATGTTTGATTGCGGAAGTGAGTCTGAATTTCGTCTTTCCATTGAATCAAGAAATGGAGAGAAAAAGTGACAGATGGAATATGAATTGGGAAGTGTTAGTGGAAGCGGTGGGATTGAAGACTGCATAAACATGGAAGAAAAATTAACTTACAGATGCAGAAGGAAAACAAACATGACATAGGGACAGATGAGTGTAGGCGGAAGAGAACGAGTGAAAACAGGAAATAAAGGGAAATATTAGAAGATGTGAATAAAAAAGCCTGAAGGGAGGGGAAATGTGAGAGGATATGTGTGCTACAAAGAAAAAGAGAAAAGAGGAGGAGAGAAAAGAAAAATACCAAAGATGGAGCTCAGCTAGAGCACACAAAGCAATGGCAGAGCAGCTAGTCAGAGCAATGCAGACAAAAATATACACTATAAAAACATAAACTAAAAGAAAAAAAATGAACAGAGAATGAAAAGAAGATGCATTTAAGAGGCTCTGACAATCTTGGTACAATATATGTTTGTGTGTGTGTGTGGGGTATTAATAACAAATGGCTCTAACAGCTCAGGCAGAGACAGTGAGCTAAATCTTTACCTGTGCTAGCCTGCTACACTGGCAACTAAATTAACCAGGGCAATATACTAGAGAGAAAACCACTGACAGTAAGAGAGAGTGATGAGAGGGAAAAAGGGATCTTCAGGAAACTAGACGTCTACTGTGACCAATTACCTCAACAGATGTGCCCATGAATAAAAAACTATATACATAAACACACACATGCCCACGTGCTATATACTTGATTGGCTTTATGCACAGCTGCACTACTTCCTGAACTTAAGCCAGCTCCTTCCCTTTCCTGTCTGCCATTATTGGACAAACTGATTAATCCAGATGTGTCTGATTACTGTTGTTGTGACTACTGAGGTCAGGCACACCTGGATTAATCAGTTTGTCCAATAATGGCAGACAGGAAACAAAGGAGCTGGCTGAAGTTCAGGAAGTAGTGCAGCTGTGCATAAAAACAATTGCAATCTCACACAATTTCTAGTATTTTTCTCCATCTAACTTTTTGGATGGGTCATAACAAATGACTAGTCTACTAGTTTAAGTAGTGAACATATATAGGTGCGTAACGCTACACATTCGACTTTCGACTTTCGATAACGACTTTCGATTCGGTTTTCGGTACACATTTTTGAACCGAACGGTTCGTTGGACCATTTTTCCTCCCGATGAAAATTCCGTTATTTCAAATGTAGGTGCGTTGCTCATGGCAAGCACGCTCATAATGTAAGAGACACTGACGTGACCACAACATTGCCCAACATCAAATATGGCATGTGTAATGTAAGCGGAACGAAAGTGAGCTACTCTTTATTGTGTGGTTGATGGGCCGTTTATCAGTTTAGACCAATGCAGTGCGAGCTGATCTTTATCAAGCAGCTTTCTTTTAAGCCCGGAACACACCAAGCCGACCAACTAAGTTTCCTCAGTGTGTTCCGCACGTTTCTGTGCTGTCGGCTGAAAATAGTCCTAGTTCGTCGGCATCGGCTTGGTGTGTTCCAGGCTTTACTGTCTATGCAAGCAGCACTCTTACTACACAGCCAAATCCAGTAAAGAAAACATTTGAATTCGCTACTGAAGAAATAACATCGCAGCGACATCTAGAGAGAAACATTCACATTTCTCTGTTATTAACGGATCAAACAACGTTGATGTGGAAACCAGGAAGAAACATTGTGCCATGAACTAACTATCCAGTATCCACAGATCAGCAACATTCACCATGGATTTACTGTATAACACTAACTGTTACCATGGAGATTTGGCAGGAATAGTAGGCTATAATGCTTTCAAGTAACATCACGTCGGTTTTATTTTGACATTATGAATACAAATGCTGCCTTCAAATGTTAATCTGAACTAAAATAAACCTTTGTTTATAACTACTACAATATTACATTTCATTTTGTCCAAGGAGCTGTTTTGTTTTATATGCTCCTAAGGAAAGTCAAGTATAGCTCCATCATTGCTCAAAGTTAAAAAATATCATATTATATTGGTGCTGAAACACTGAAGAGAGGAGCTATCTCTCCCCTGAGTCAATATCAACTCTCAAATCACTGATGTTACCTACCAAGCCTTTAAGAGCCACTTCAGAGCTGGTGGGTAAAGCATACTTGGCAGCAGGTCAGACCATGGCATGTTGCTGAGAAGAGAGCACAAACACCCATTCTTCCCCTCAGAAAGATTGGGGATCAGGGTGGCGATCGCAGCCCAAGCCTACGAAGGATACAATGGATATGAATACCATTATTATCTCCAAGAAGGGTTTGGTGAAGAAGCCCTGACACCAGTGGTGTCAGGCTTCTGAGGGAAGTTCCCTCTGGGGATACCTCATTATAAGGTGACAATTTCCCCTCTGTGCTTTCCGGTGAGCCTATATCCCAGTGTCCGCTCAAAAACATAGCAGTGCTAGAATACTTAACCCCTCTGAGGAGGGTCTCAGAGCAATCAGTTCGGTTGTTCCCTGCCAGTTTGCTGCTTCAGGGGACCGAATTGGTTAAACCAATTCTAACACCAGAGGCCAGTCTCGAGAGACTGGTTCCCTTAGTAGATTTTTTGGCAGCGTGGAAATTACTGCCAAATATATCTCAATGGATCTTGCAAATGGTAGAAAAGGGTTACAAAATTCAGTTTGGGTCACGCCTGCCCAGGTTAAACAGGGTTCTACCCACAGTGGTAGGCCCCGATCAGGCTCTGGTTATGGAGCAAGAGGTAAAGGCTCTGCTGGACATGGGGGCTATAGAACATTTTCTTCCTTCCAGCAGGGAGTCCGGGTACTACAGCCGGTACTTTGTTGTTCCAAAAAAGTGTAAGGGGTTGCGTTCGATCTTAGATCTGCGCCAACTGAATTGCTCTGTAAAGAAGCTCAAGTTCAAGATGCTTGCGCAAATCATGTCAAAAATCAGGTCCAAGGACTGGTTTGTCAAGATAACTCAATCAGAGAATATGGTGGTTCGGCATCGAGATGTCGTTCTTGACCACATAATAAAGTTGGGGTTAAGGCTCAATGCCAAAAAGAGTGTGCTTTCTCCAGCTGAGAGAACCACTTTTCTAGGTGTGGTATGGGATTCGACAACGATGCAGACATGTCTGTCTGCAGCTCATATCAAATCGATTCACTTGCTTTAGCCCTTAAAAGGGCTAAAGCAAGGCCAGTCACTACCTGTCAAACAGTTTCTAAGACTGTTGGGCCTGCTGTACATTTGCATGATCAATGTCACGCGGAGAGCACCAGCTGGACCCAGTTAACTGCCCTGTTGGTACAGTGCTGGAGTTCCTGCAGGAGTTGTTCTCCTCAGGGTTATCCTCCTCCACCTTAAAGGTATAGGTGGTAGCCATAGCTGCTTACCACACTCCATTCGGTGGTGCGCCTTTAGGTATCCTGCATGGCACCTTGTGGCTGATACCTGCAGTATACTGCAGGGCCTGGGATTTGGCCATTGTATTGGAAGGCCATTCTATGGCTCCTTTTGAGCCTACTGAAGAGGCTTCAGAAAAGTTACTCCCTTTCAGGCAGTGTTCCTTCTTGCCATCTCATCTCTCAGAAGAATCGGACACGGCAAGCCCTGTCAGTAGCTCCTTTGTGCCTGGAATTTGTACCTGCTATGGTGAAGGCCTTTCTCCCCCCTAGACCAGGTTATTTCTCAATGGTCCCCGGCTAATGTTGCGGGGCCTATTGTTCTGCCCTCCGACGTCAGTTCAAGAGCTTAATCTGCTTTGCCTTGACCAAGATCCAGCCAGAAAATGGAAATTTGCACAGCACTTCATGCTAAATTTCTTCAGACAAGGCAACAGTGAGGAAACTGGACAGAATATTTGTACAAATATTTGTGTGTCTACAGAAATTCACCAATTTTTTTCCCAATGTAAAAAATAGAATTTTCTCTTATTATGCTCTTAATTTATTTCCATAATCTTTCTCTTTTTTTCATCTTTCACCCACCAGGTTAAAATTGGTATCTGAATTGGTATCTCAGCGTTTACAGAGAGACATTGACAGATTGCTGTGTATGATGTGGTTACATGAAAGATCGTCCAAGAACATAAGATTGGACTCTGGAGAATTTTATACCGAAGTGCAGCGACAATTACCTAACCACTCTGCCTCTAAGGAACCGTACTGGGGGGACAGAGGAGGCGAAGAGAGGGAGAGAAAGAATGGGCAGAGAAGGTATTACTTAACTTTGACAGTAATGAAGAGGAGGAAGGGGAAATGTGTAAGTGCAGTTAAAAACAAAATGGGGGAAAGGGATGGAAAGATTCTCTAACTCTCTTTTTTTGCTGTCATTAGTCTTTGTCCAGTGTGTGTCAACACATTCCTTTTGTTTAACACACCTCTCAGAATACAGCAATTATCACCCTTACACAGACAGTAAAACACACATACACTACAGCACACTAACTGCTAACTGTATAAAAGTACAAATGTATTGATATTTGACGACAGGCCCTGCTGAGTCCCTTGATTAATGAGCTCAGTGACTTGACTAATTAGACATCATTTATCAATTGAGCCTGACTGTCACTTGGGCTGAATTAACTGACCATGGGCAGCCTGTTGAATGAAAACTGAACATGTACTGACCTAGGCCAAAAACAGAATCTATGAAAACGTAAACGTTTTACTTAACGTTTGTTCTCACTTGAACTAACTTGCTCAGCACTATTCAATATTTTCAACATTGCTGTGCCATGACAGTAGTTTAACAAAACTACAAAGTTAACAGTAGTTAAACAAAACTACAAAGCTGACTATTTGTGTGTTTATTTATTATTTCTGTATATATATATATATATATATACATATACTGCTGCATATTCTATAATTCGATTTCATGCAAATTCAGTTATTTAGAGCTTAGTTTTAATTCAGAATTTTGATAAAAAAATATCAAGTTTACACAAATGAATATTATACAGGACAACTGTTTTCAGCAATAACAAGAAAAAGAAGAAATTTTACATGAGTACCAAACCAGAATATCAAAATAATTGGTGTAGGTGACACTGAAGAATGGAGTATTGGATGCTGAAAATGTTGCTATGCCAACACATGTATCTAATACATTTTAAATATTAAAAAAGAAAGCTGTAATATTATTACTAAATATAACTGTTTTTACTTTATTCTTGATCATAATAGACTTCTTTCAAGAATATGAAAAAAAGCCCTAACAACCCCAAACTTTTGAATGGCAGAGAGACATGGCAAAGAGAATATAGACTCAATTTGTGTTTCAGTGAGTTGTTCATTCCAGTGCGTGTGTTTCGCTTTAAAACACAAGGTCTATCATATTCCGAAGAGCGCAATACCTGCGCTCTATGTTCAAATGATACGCAAACTACGTTTCTCCACTGAATAAATCAAACCCGCAACTCTCTAGTAAAATTTTGATGCATGAGGATTGCAATCAATGTAAAGACGATTGCGGTGACATACAGGAGTCCCACAGTGAACCGTTATATTGATGCACAAACAAACCATGTATGCATTCTCGACACACTGATCACACACATTTATCACTTTATTTGACAGAAAGAAAGACAGGAGGTGATAGAAGACAAGAGATGGGAACTTGATCAGAAAAGGGCCTCAAGCCAGAACTCAGGAAGTGCTGTGATGCAATAGTCAAGAGCACTGCCAACTAGCCTAAGGCTATGACATGTTCTTAGAATTTGAATTGTTATTAAAGTTCACCATACAGATCTAGCAAGAGTTCAATTTGATCAAGTGAATTTTCTGCACGGACCAAACGAAAAGTGCATAGTGAGCTGTGCATTGATAAATAACTGATAATGGAGCTTGTGATAATTGTTTGCTTGTGAAATTTAGTTGATACGATTCTTGTCTACTCACCAGTATCAAGTTTGGTTCCTCTGGTGCAGGCTACGATGGCACCCATGCTCGGTTGAGAGGTCATGCCAGCCATTGAGTCAACTGCTACATCCACTATATCTGCGCCTGCTTGTGCACAGGCTAGCATTGCCGCTACTCCTGCACCTGCCGTATCGTGAGTATGAATGTGGATGGGGATGTCCGGGAAACGGTCCCGCAATGCTCCAATCAATAAACGGCTGGCTTCGGGCTTCAGCAGGCCAGCCATGTCCTGAGAAGAAAAGAGAGAAGAGCTGCTATCAACAACTTTAAGTGAACACCAAATTAAAGAAAATCAGATTATAATAATCACTGTATCATTACAGAAGATAAACAAAGCAATGTAGAGAAGTAACATAAACAACAGAGCTAGAATGAGTATTACTGTCATTGTCTTTAGTCATTACATCCTTGATTAACTGTTATATTGGCAAATCCTTCACCTCTGCTTTTGTCAGTGTTGAACATGATTGTCAGGACAATACTGTAGTTCATGTACAGTACTCGTGATCTACCTTAATAGCCAGTATGTGTGTTCCAGCCTTAACTAGCTCATTGGCTAGCTTCAGATAGTACTCCAGTGAGTATTTCTGTCTCATAGGGTCAGACACGTCTCCCGTGTAAGAAATGGCCGCCTCCACCACACCTCCAGCCGCCCCTGCAGCTTCCATCCCCAAAAGCATGTTGGGAATATAATTCAGGGAGTCAAAAACACGGAAGATATCCATTCCGTTCTCTTTGGCTACCTCACAGAATCTAGAGAAAGGGAGAGAGAGATCATCAATGGAAATATGGCTTTGAGCTCTGCACTACAGCCAACTCGTTCAAACCCGCCATTTATGGTTTATGAGAGTAAAAGTCAAGCCACTGAAATCAGATATTTTGCTGCCTGCCAGAGTACTTTCCAACAGATCAGTATGTTGTTTTTTATTATGGAATGAGGACATTCTAAGATGAAAACCATTGCTATGATACTAAGGGGGTTGTGGGTGGCTGCAAGAGCATTGCCATGTGGTTGCTAAGATTTTCTGAGTGGAGTTAACATGATTCTATGCAGTTGCTAAAAAGTTCTGCAGGTTTTTAGTTTGTTGCTATGAGGTTGCTAAGGAGTTCGGAGTGAAGTTCAGGGTGTTTCTATGTGGTTGTTAAAACCTTTTGAGCTGTATGGTGTCATGCGGTTATTGGGGTGCTCTGAGTGTTTTTATGTTTTATGGTGTTGCTATGCAGTTGCTAAACGGATAAACATTTTAAGTGTGTTTCAATAGAGTTGCAATAGGTTGCTAAAAAGTTTAGAGGAGATTCCCCCCTTTCATGCAAAGCCCTTTGAGTACCCAGAAAAGCACTATATAAATGTAACAAATCATTATTTTTATGTTGCTATGCACTAAAGATTATTGTGTTGCTATGCACTAAAGAGAAAGAGCTCAAGTGAGACCACTCCCAGGCCTCATACGTGTATATACTAGGGCTGTCAACAAAATATTCTAAATTCAAATATATATTCGAATAGTTTAAAATCTGAAATTCGAAGGTGAAAATTAATATTCGAATGTGGAAACAACGCGCCCGGGGGAACATTACAATTGGCTGACTAAATAGATGCTGCATGAATAATGTAGGTTAGATAAAGCAGTTTCATGCACTGCAGGCTTTTACTTATTTGATTATTTACCGTGTCATGTCAAGGAAAAGTTCCATGTTTACCACAGCACAGCTCGCTCGGAGTGTTCTATATACTGTAAATTTATTTTACCTATTTAAATAACTAGGTAAAGTACCTATTTAATACCTACCTATAAACTTAAATAAACTACCTATACTATTAGTTATGTCTCTTTGTATTCATTTGTCCTGTTATTGACAAATACGTCATTGACAAAATGCGCAACCAAATGTTCGAATGTGTTTTTTTTTGTGTGAATATTCGAACGTCATTTTTGAGCATTTTTGACAGCCCTAGTATGGGCTATACTCTGCCATGATGCTTTAAGCTTAATGTCGAACAAGTCAGGATAAGAGATCGTTGAAGTCCACATTTACGCTCCGTTTTCATCAGTTAAAATGACAAATAAATGCAATCTGGATGCTCAAAATTGATTGAATTCAACTTTAAACAACTTACTAAACATGTATGTCAATTGGTGTTCCAAACTATTGCGCTGCTGCATTGTAACACACATAACTCACGCATAATGTGCAAACTGTGCGCACACAGAAACATTCAGTAGCGCAGAAATGTATTGTCAACACTGTTCTGTGATATAGCAATAACATAGCTTAGAAAATGAAAAGTTCTAGCATATATTCCTTAGTAACTAAAACCCACAGCTTCACTTTTAGTATAGAGACGCAGGAAGAAAGAATAAATTCGCAAGCAATCACTCTCTCACTAATGCGTTCAAATAAATGTAGTTTTTACGTGCTATAAATCTGTTTCTGATTTACCATGAGCAGAAAACTATAAGAAATATAATGACCCAAAGACAATTATCCAAAGACGTAGGAGTTATGCAGGAGCAACAGTCTATAGGGCAGCACTTTGTCATATACCCTACAGGTAGCTGTGCACAAGGCAACCTGCGTTCAAATCTCGCAAGGTTCTTATTTGTTCATTAATGATGTTATCAGCGAGTAGTCGATGTTGACTCGAATTTGACTCTTGACTCAACTGAAGATAAATGTTAAATCTTAAGTTGTTCGACCCCTAACATATACACAAACAAACTTTGACGTTATGTGAATAATTGTGATTCATTTATTTGACAGCACTAACTAATGAATATGTACAGTTTCACCAAAGCTGTTGGGAGATTATAATCTCCACTGTCAGAAAAAAAGGTACGAAAGCTGTCACTGGGGCGGTACCTTTTCAAAAAGGTACACTTTTGTACCTAAAGAGTGCATATTGGTACCATAATTGTACAAATATGTACCATGAAGGTACCAATATGCACCCTTTAGGTACAAAAGTGTACCTTTTGAAAAGGTACCGCCCCAGTGACAGCTTTCGTACCTTTTTTTTCTGAGAGTGTACTGTTACATTTGTAAGCATTAATTTCCTAAAATGAAAGCATAAAAAACCAAACTACTGTGTCCACTTGCAGATTACTGCAAAATAGCACAACTGTGTTTACTGCTGCAATGGTATCGACTCTAACTCTCAATACATGCACTGCCCCTCTATTGTGTGTGTATGTGTGTGTTGTTCATGTTGTGCCTAAATGTAATCACCTAAATTGTGTAGACAAGCCAACAGCCCTCTCGAGGAAAACAGCTTAATAAACATGCTAAATAAAATCTTAATAAACATTTAAATATGCAGAAAGGTTTCTGTGAGGGAAGGATTAGGAGTCAGGGCCGGGTTAAGAATTCAGAGGCCCCTGGGCACAATGTCTTGTAGGCCCCCCCTTAGGCAGGCCAAATGCAGTTTGTCCAAGGACATTTTAATTTGGCATGAACTGTTTTACTGACTTAAAAGGATCTTTGTTGTACTATGCTGGAGTAAAGTTCATAAATGATCTGTGTTTCCCATAGAATTTTGTAAAACTATGTTGGGTGGTCCTCTAGTCTGTACCCTCTAAGGGGGTTTTGTAAATTAAAGACAATTTTGTACATTTTAAGGTTAAAAGCTCAATCTGGTGCACTCTGAGAACTCAAAATTAAGAGCTTCAACCCATGAACTATGCACATTGAACAAAGAAAAAGCATTGACTTGTACCTGGACATTAAAGAGGGCTCAAACGTATGTTTAGTTATGATATATAGAGTCTCAGGCTACATTACATTACCAATGGTGTTTTAGGATGCCAAACAATTATTATAATAATGAGTTATATAATTATTTCTATGACGTAAAGTCCATATAGACCTAGCCTATAAACGTAGCCTAAAATAATTTTGCATTAAATTATACAGTATAGGAAAATTACATTACTTTTGTCCTAATTTCTTCAATTGATTAATGATTAATTAAAGCAGACAACTGGAAGTTGAAGTGCATAGCTTTGACTATTAACACATTAATTTACACTATTAGTTAATAAAATATGTTATTAAGGAATTAATACACAATGACACATTGAATTAATAGCAATTCATGTATTACTTAATCTATTAATCATATAGACTATTAGTTGCTGATGCAGTAATCGTTAATTAATGGTTTAGTTCTTCATTAGTTATACATTAACTCATGATTATCTGTGTATTAGTTAAGCATGAATTAATGCATATTAGTGCACCCGTATTGTAAAGTGTTACCCGTTTCTGTATTTGGTGGTGTTGTGAACGTTTGCAGCGCATTTCTGTATTTGGTTGTGTTGTAAGTACTTGGAGCACAGGTGTGTTGTGGAACTGATGAAGATGTTTTTCTTAATTTGCGGATGTATTTTTGTATTTGAAAGCGTTTTTATAGTTGCACACGTTTTTTTGAATTTGCATTCGTCTTCATCAGGTTGCAGCGCGGTGAGCTCTCTCGGCCACCATACTAATGGTTAATCTGACCCTGTTAGGAGTAGAGGATAAAAAATAACATTAGCCAATGTGTGTGTGATCTCACTTGAACACAGCATTATCAGGGTAGTTTGTGTATCCCACAGCATTGGCTCCACGTAGTAACATCTGAAATGGGACGTTGGGAATCAGAGTTCTGAGCTCCTGGAGTCTCTTCCACGGACACTCCCACAGAAAACGCATCGCTACATCAAATGTAGCTCCTAGAGACAGGAAGAGAGATTTTAAGGTCATGCCAAAGACTGAAGTGATATCAAAGGATGAATTGATCCTCTGTAATCTAACACACACACACAGAGCTGAGGAACATCTAAAAATCACGGTAATACACAGACAATAAGCTTAGTGAACCAGAACATGAACATTCAATAACTGCTAATTTGAAGTAGAGTAATTATTTAATTAATTCACCAAATCTGTGTGACGTATGTGCATTAAGAAATGACTTGGTAAATGTGTCACGTGCCTCCCCAGTTCTCCAAGCTGAAGAGGTTATTAAAGTTGTGGCTCACAAAGGGAGCAATCTTCTTGAGGTCATGTGTCCTGACACGAGTTGCCAGCAGAGACTGGTGGGCGTCTCTGAAAGTGGTGTCCATCAGTAGAAGACCCTGATGCTGCCGAATTGCCCGTGCAAAACCCTCTGGACCCTCTTTCAACAGGACTTCACGGAAGCCTGTGGGTGGCTCACCTAGACAGAAAAAACAACAACAAAGTGATTTGTGTACACAGCACACATATAAAGCCAGCTGACCAACTCAAAACACCTTGACACAAGTAGGGGACTATTAGGGACAATATTTGCAAAAAGTATGATCTCAATATTTTCTGATTTTGTTGATAAGTTTAAATAGTCAATTTTTTTTTAAATTATGAAATTAAATTCTACATTAAATACGAAACTAAAACCACCAGTAAGTGAAGCTAATTCACTTAATTAGTGAGTCATTGAGGCATTCACTCAACCGAGGAAAGAAGCACGGGTCATTACTGACTCAATTATTCATTCACCTAATTATATATATATATATATATATATATATATATATATATATATATATAAACTGTGTTCCCCAGATTTGTTTAGAAACATTTTAGTAGGGGAAACTAAAATGTAGCTCACAATATTAACTTTTATTTAACAAATCTTATATTCTGAAAAACAGCACTCTTACACGTGTGATATTGCTTAACGATATGATATGATAAAAACTCATACTGGGGCATTTTTGCCCCTCATGTTTTAAATTCTGGATGCATTAACACTGCATTCTAATAAGTTGATACAGTGAACGTGTGTATTCTTAAGGAGTCTGTTTGTTTGTTTCTACAAAGGGAGTGACATAGCTACTTGATGATGTCAACTTGCACATAATTAAAACAACAATATCACACATCCAAGGGACTGTATCTACTATTTATCTACTATTAACAATTGACTGTTGTTGCAGTAGTCTGACTACTTCTCATTGTGGGCCTGTCACACGGCTTTGAAACAGGTGATCAACTGAATGAGTGCTACTGACTCTTTGCACTGATTCCCTGTCATGCACGTGTTTCATTTGGCATCCGATCAAAGCAAATACGAAATAAGAACAGCAATTGGCACATGAATATTTGCTGAGGAGAACAGGAAGTAAAAGTTGTTCTGAGCAGCTAACACCAAACCATGTTTCTCTGCTAAACCTTTTACATATGTGCATTGATTTTCTGCCTGGAGCTCATGGGATAGAAGCGCAGCTACGAGAACCAACCAACCTCCGACTCCAGGACACTCCTAGTATTCATAGGTCTCAGATGTGGCAGTTTAAGGGGCCATTAACCCAGGAGGCAGGGGGCGGCGCCGCTAACTTTCATTACAACTAAAATTGAACTAGGGGTGGGCGAAATGACTAAAATTCTATATCACGATATGAGCATTTTTATTTCACGATAAAGATATATATCAAGATATACTTATTGTTTGCTATATATATATATGTTTATATCATAAAAACCTTATTAAAATCTTATTTTATGAAAATAACCTTATTATTATCATAAAAACCTTTTTTATAATATAAATAATTATACATTTTTTCATTTTAATTTTTATAAAAATATTAGAAGAAAGACACTAATTACAAGCATAGTAAAAAGTGAAAAACAAATGAAACAGACCTACCTGAAAACCTTCAAGCACTAGATAAGAAATACTAAGATACATAAATTGTATAATGTAATGTGTGTCTCTGAGACAGAGCTCAACAACAATATTAGCAAAAGGAGCTCTTTTTCACTGCTTATTGCACTTCAATGGTTTAAAAATCACTTCTTTTTATACCACAGTGCTAAAAAACATGCAAATGATAAGCTTTCGTGATGGCGTAGCACGGTAATGTCACATGAGCACATAACCGCGATAGAGACAATCTCTACCAGTTGACAACATTTCTACCGTTTAATTGTATCTACCGGACCGGTATGCTATAAATCACCCTAAGCCGAACATACTGACTCTCTCTATTGAGGCAAACGAGGCAAACTAAAAATTATATACAAAACAGGTGGGCAGCAAGCTTATTCAAGCACAAATAAAAGTAAATCATGCTGTCCAATGAGAGAAGGAGTGTGAGATAAAAAAAAGCCGGGGGAGACCGTTGATAGAAATGCAGTTAGTAAGACATTGATGCATAGATTTGCATATTTCAAGGCATAAATACACCCACATCTGAGTTTAAATGTATGTAACTCTGTGGGAATTTCTCTGTATGGCATGCTGGCGGGCATATGAAAGGAAAGATGAAGGCCAAAGCCTATTTATCGCTTATTGTGTGTCTGATACACACATGCAACACACACAATGCTGAGGAGCATCTCATGAGGCTTGGGATACACCTACCACAGATGTGACCTACTTACACAGACACATACATTTTTTATCCCATGAAAGACCTTTTCCATACACACACCTACATGCATGGCACATATTCGGTCCAAATGTGTAGGGGGACAATTTTGTATACAAACTAAGACCAGTTCCACTGAGAACAGGAAGAAAGTGGGACAACTTTTTTTTCCCAATGAGAATACGAGAAAAGTGGCTAAAATTATTTGCTCACACATATGCATACACATACCTATCCCTCAGGGATCTCTCTCTCTCTCTCTCTCTCTCTCTCTCTCACACACACACACACACACACACGCAGAGGGAGCATGGTATGTGGCTCACACACCTAAACCCCTGTAATGAGATTTCTAATGTGACCGGATCCCTCTTTCATTTGGCAGAGAGAAGGAGAGAAGGGAAGGATTAAAGCTGCATTATCACACTCTAGTCCATCCACAGAGAGAAAGAAAGAAAGAGAGAGAGGGGAGGGTGCCAATATTTAGGGCTGCTATAAACATGAGTATGAATTCCACAAACATCTGTTGTGGTACACTTTTGATGTGGAAAGTGTGTTTGTGATACGTGTGTTTAGATTTGGGGAGTAACTAAACTATCTGTGATGCATGTGCAGAGTTGGGGAGTAGCTCAACTATTGTTTAAGTTTATTGAACGTTTTTCTGCTACAGGATTATACAATCCTCTATTCCAGACTCTAAAAGATACAAACTATATATATATATATATACAAATTCATTTTGATTTTACAAAAACACATTAATTTCATAAATTGAGTTTTCCTAACATCCTAAATAAATAACATAAAATGAATTACAGGCAAACTTTATAATTATATATAACATGATTTTTTGACAGGCAAAATGCATCCAGCCTGTTCTTAAAGGAATTAATAGAAGGGGAACATACAACTTCTTCTGGGAGCTCATTCCATGATTTTACCACACGGAGTGTAAAAAAGTTCTTTCTCTTTTCGGACATACATGATAGGGTGACGAATTCCCTCGAGTCTCGTACCTGTTTTTCCATAACTGAAAGATATAGGTTCAACTACCAAGTAGACTCAACTATGCTACAGAATTAAAGGGGTCTTTCACATAATACACTAAAATTCTTATCAGTTAGACTTTATTTTGATGGTTCCCTATAGACATTCTGTTATCTACAGGTAATGTGGCACATTACCTGAAGACACAATATTTCGGTCTTACACCCAATGCTAAAGGGAACCTGCAAACATAAATGAGTCAATCTGTAAACTTTGCCTGATGAAGGTGGCAGCAACCGGAGGTTACACGTCTAATTTACACACAAACACACCTTCACGGTGTATGCAGTGCCTAATCGTTTTGTTTATAAAGCCGTCTTATTTGCTTTATTAGTAAAAGTTCTAGGTATATTATAAACAAGTAAGTCATTGAACTGTTTGTTTTGTCGAAATTATGCTAATTTGAAAGCGAAAGTAAAATGTACTCGGCTGCACGGACATTTATAATGGTGCGTGTTCACTGGCACGGAATGAGTCAGCGTTTTCAGTTCATTCCTGACTTCCTTAGCACAACTTCCACAGAAATTAAATTGAAAAAGCTCACTCTGCTCCGTGTCAGTGGACACGCACCATAAGTGACGATACCGGTGTCGTCACATGTCGATTAACTGGTGGGAAAATTTCCTCACTGTCACACGTATTAGTTAAACACTATACGTTAAAAAAATATAATGTTTTATTAATGTAGTTATAAGTCATTTATAAGTTATTGGTTAATCATAAACTAATTATTTACAAAACATGACTCCCAAGTTCATTAATAAGTGGCATTCTAATGACTTAAATGTAAGATGTAAGTTATCGTAAAAATGAGTAAATCAAAATAAACAGGTTGCTTGTAAGATGGTTAAGGTTATTAGCTGTTATATTATTAATCACTTAAAATCATTTAAATATTTGTGTCAAAATTGTATTAGTATCTCAATAAACAGTGGTTAATCATGAACAAATGATGAACAAACAATTAAAAATGTATATATTTTTAAGAGACGTAATTTATTTACTATATTAACAGGGTATCTGCACATTTTTTATCAACAAATGTAATGACTTTTAAGACCTTTGTAAGACCTTCAAGAATAAAAATTAAGACCATTACCATGGCAAATATATATATATATATATATATATATATATAAATTACACTCTAGGCTGTTCAGGTTAACAAAACACATTTGTATTTGAGCAACAGTGCAAATAGTCAGTGCATATTTAGCAACATAAAGTGCATGTCACTGTCAGGCAACTGCCTTCTCAATATCACAACAACAACACTGCTGTAAATAACGTACAAACAGTGCGTAAACAAATCAAATTGCAAATGACAAGTTAAACATCTTTGTTGGACGTATAGGAGTGATGTCGGCTAAGCGTGTGCAAAACCCACAGCATTTTGCCTTCAGTGTAGTGGTTGGGGAGAATGTACCGAATGCATTACTTGTACTGGACAACCGAAGACATCAACTTGGGTGTAGCGTTAAGCCTTTGAAGTAGATCCCGATGCTGCAAACATCTGAATGGGGACAGTTATTGCCTGACTGTCTGCATAGCGCTTGTGCTTCTCCCCTTTCATATGTGCGTCAAGGACTTTCCAGCCCACTGTTCCAAATTGTATGGTCTTTTTGCAAAGTCTGCACCTTCATATTCTGTCATTTTTTGTATATTTCTCATAATCGTGCCAGTTATCATTAAACCTGCACTTCCCAATCTTGGTTCGCGTCTGCCACTCTAAAATACTTCTTTGTCTGTTTTTATGACAGGCCTATGGGGAAAACACTGTCCCCTAAATGGTGTGTGATGGCTGCTGTGCTATAGGCACATGCTACTTTTACTGTCCTTATACAGGGTTGTGTGCTGGTGAAATAAATTTAGCATGGGAAATAGTTTCTCCAGACATATCTTTCTTTCATTCCGCCCAGATGATTATTAATGCCACTCTTGGAAAATTAACGAAATTTAATACATTTGACAGTTTTTCTCAGTCGCTGTAAATCATTTATTTACATTTGCACAACAGTTAGTTAAACCTCCACGACATTTAGTCATTTGTGCAGATCATAGTAGCAGTTTCTCATTCCTTCCAACAAATTGCAAATGCTTTTGGACATGCATCAATTGCTTTCAACCAACTCTCTGTTGTTTTATAACATTATCATTTGCTTATGTCATGTCAGTCAAAATTAACTATACTTGTGAATGCTGAATAGTCATTCCATATAAAACTAATAGTCATCTTCATTGCTTGAGTCATCACATAGAAAAATGTTAAACTAGTTGTCAAAATCTGTCAAGCAAATTTGACATGTTTTGTAAATAAGGGTGTATTTTTTATTTTTCACAATGCTGTGAACAAATTAGAATAGTAAAGAGCATATGCAGTAATGTGAAATACATATTCAGTGTCTTGTACTCTGATACCTCACTAAATACATTAATGTGTAACTTTACTGTAGTTTTCAAATGGCTGTGCAAAAATAGTAGTGCTGTCTTGAGCATTTTCAGGTAACTTTTTTGCATTGGAAAACATTTACAGAGTAAACTGTCATAATGATAACATGACAAAGCCATTTGCCTATCCTATTCATAAACACTGGTGGACTTTTCATCTTGATGACAATGACACTTTCATTGACATGAATACTTGCTTTTGAGGAATGAGCTATCCATTTTGAGCAAGTGACATGCTTTTGCAGGTTATCAACTAGGTTTTGCAGTTTAATTGTTTTGAGAACTGCATTAACTGTTGTGCAAATGTAAATAGTGATATGAGAAATGCATCAAAGCGACTGAGAAAAAACTGTACGTTTTTTTAAGACGTTTTAATATTTTTTAATGATCCCTGATTAAGTAACTGTGTGTGTGTGTGTGTTTGTGTCTGTGTGTGTTTGTCATACCCAAAGAAACAGAAAGAACAACTGGATCAACAGATGAGGATTTGGCTTTAACTGGAATAGGAGTCATGGGTCCATTTACCATGATGTGACCTGTGGAGATATACAGCAGATGTTTAAACACAAATGCACTCTCACACATTTTAGACCATCACAGGGGCAACACAATGATAAATGCACACACGCACACACACGCATACACACACTAACCCAGATAGCGCAGGAGTTTCTGGGCTCTGTTCTGTGTAGGTTTTAGGTTGAAAAGTTCCTGGTTCTCATCAATAAACTGCGTGTCAACTGTGCCATACAGGAACTGGCTATTGCTCAATACATTCTGCAGGAACGGGATATTAGTCTGAAAGAGAAAAGGGAGTGATTACGATTATCAGCTGATAGTCAAAACACATGCATTTATTCAATATACACTCACCTAAAGGATTATTAAGAACAATACTAGTACTGTGTTCGACCCCCTTTCATCTATACAGCCACCATACGAATAATTCAATAATGCCCAAACTTCACCAACTGAGATCAACCAACAAATTCCCTGAAATAACATGCTTTATCCATTTGCAAAATGAGACCAAATGACACTGAATATCCACCATCAAATCATATGTAAATACAAATAAACAATAGAAGAGTAAGTTCCAGGAAATTACAACAAATATATATTTAATTTTTTGGGGGAAATATGTAAATAGTGCTTGCATGTGCAAAGTTGGCTATTGTTATGGAACTGGTAAGATGTTGAATGTATGAATGCTTTTAGAGTGCAATTATGTGGTTGCAATGGTGTTTCTATACAGTCATTAAGGTGTTCCGAGTGGTTTTAGAAAGTCTTTATGTGGTTGTTAGAGTGTTGTTGTACAGTCGCTAAGATGTGCTGACTGGTTTTAGAGCAGGGATAGATAATTCCGGTCCTGGAGATTTTAGCACCATCCCTTATACAAAGTAAATCATTACCTGACTTTCATTTTTAAGTAATCTTCAAGACCTTTGGTTAGATTATGAGTTGTGTGTTAAGAGGCCCGTACACACCGGGACGAATATCAGCGTGCGTTATTCGTCAGCGTTTTTCAACGCGTTTTTTGTGTTCACACCCAAGCGATTTTCAATGACGATGAGCCGAGTGAACATGCAAATTCATTCCCTGACGTTAGGTGGCGCCAATTTGCTGCAATACCACAGAGCAATAACAGTTCCATAACAGTTCTTTTCCCAAGATGTTTGCAGTTGTCGTCCTTTAGCATCATATAGAACGCTATATGACAAAATGGCGCTATACTACGCACATGGCACCCGTTATCGTTAATATAACACGCGCTGTGATGGTTAGGTTAGGGTGTGGGGTAGGGTAGGGTAGTCTCATATTACGCTAAAGGATTTATGATGCCTTGGGTGAATAAAGGGTGCCATGTGCGTAATATAGCGCTGTTTTGTCATATGGCGTTCTATGTGACGCTAAAGGATGAGAACGGGCTGATTTGTCATATAGTTCTTTATGTTCTAACACCAACGAGAACAGCAGCTCTACATTCATCTTGCCTTGCATCTTCCTCGTCTTATTTCTTCCTGGCTGTGAAGACGGTGACGCGTACATCTTCTTCACCGTTGCATATGTGGGCTCGGCAAGACTGTTTTGTGTTTGAGCGCCCCCAAGTTGTGTTTTACTGTAACTTCAGACGCTTCAAACACATGAGCAAGAGCACCAATCTCATTGGTCAGATAGTTTTTGATGCGGCGTTTCAAACTAAAAAAACGAACCCGAGGCTTTAAATGACGCTTTTACGCGTCGGAGTGAAAACTGATATTGGCGCCCATTGTTTAGTCACAAGGCGTTAAAAGTTGGCGAATAACGCGCGCGAAATTCGTACCGGTGTGAACAGGTCTTTAGGTGTGTTTGATGGTGCTAAACTGCATAAATGTGGTTGTGCAGTTGCTAGGGTGTTGCTATACAGTTTCTGAAGAGTTAGTGATATCAGAGTGCGATTATGTGGTTCCAAAAATGTTGTTATATTGTGGCTAATGTATTCTGAGTGGTTTTAAAATGTTGTTATGAAGTTGATAAGGTGTTTTTATGCAATTGCTATGGTGTCCGAGTGTTGTTATATGGTTTTCTAAGGTATTGCTATAAATTTGCTAAGATGTTTGAGTGGAGTGTGGATGTGCAGTTGCTAGGGTTTTCCCTAAGAAAGTATCAATTTTTAAGCCACAACTATCGATACATATGTCCCATTCAAATTGCGTTTAACTTAGCTCGTCAAGGGGCTGTTCACATATCGTGTCTTTTGCGCACTTTGTTATTTCAAATGTAGGCGCGAGGCAAGCGCGCTCATAATTGAAGCGACGACACGCTCATTTTTCCCAGGTGCAGCGAGATGAACACCTCAACTTTTCAGAATGCCGCAAGCGTACCGCAGTTCATGTGACAAGAACCAACCAATAGCTTCACCCTTTCCGTAACAACGAAAGCTCGGTCAACATTAAGGATGGGGGTGCACTCAAACACTATGGGTGTTTTTCTCTTCTCCGTAAATAAATCTTATTAGTTACAGCAAGCATTTTTCGGTGGTGGAAATCTATTAGCTACTAAAACTTCTTTGTCGATGTGGAGACTGGAGAGCGCAGTGCATGGTGGCTTAGCAATGACAGCATGGGAAAATCGGATTGAATTTTACTATTAATAATAAAATATAAGCTAATGTGCATTGTAAATGTCAGTAATTTATCTTTATAAAAAAATGATTTAAAGGCAGAAATATGAGAGGTTTGTCTTTTTATACATTTTTTCTCAAAACTTTATTTGCACTTTTTAACTCTGCATTGTTAATTGCAATGCTGCACTTTATTTACTTTTCAAAGGCTTGTAAGCTACAGTTGCACTGTTTCAATAAATGGAACTAATTTTCTCAACACATCTTTGATTCATTTTGTCCAGCATTTGCAAGCTATATAGGGACTCAAGTCAAAGACATATATTGTGTAATTGATCCTTTTAGTTTTCAGTTCAATTAATTCAATCCAAGTAGATTGAACACTCACAAGATGTCACTAAAATAACTCTGTGCCCTTTAAATCTTTCAGAAAATGATGTAAGTGTGTCGAATTATATCGAATCGTTTTGTTGGCTGAATAGCGTGATATATATCATATCGTGAGCTGAATTGTGTGTATCGTATCGTATCGTGACATTACTGTATCGCTACAGCCCTAGTGGTTATGTAGTTTCTAGGGTGTTTTCTATGCAGTTGTTAAAGTGTTAATAGTTTCAGAGTGTGGTTGTGCAGTTGCAAATGTGCTAGTGGTTTCAGTGTGTGGTTATGTGGTTGCTAGAGTGTTGCTATACATATAACTGACGTCTTGGGACGTCTTTTGACCATACGTCAACATCCGCCTTTTAAGGGTACCTTTAAACGTCGGCTAGATGATGTTATCGGATCCTAACCCTACCCCAGACCTAAACCTACCCCTAAACCTACCCCGTCACCTAACCGACGTTAAAGGTAAAGCGTCAGTTGTATGACGGCCCGGGATCATCATGTAACTGACGTTTAAGGGTACCCTAAAAAGGCAAATGTTGACGTATGGTCAAAAGACGTCCCAAGACGTCAGTTATATGACTTCTTGAGATGAGACTGTGTTAATCACTGAGACGTTTTGAGTGGTTTAGAATGTGGTTGTGCAGTTGCTAGGGTGTTGCTATACAGTTGCTAAGGTGTTAGAAGTTTCAGAGTGTTTCTATGCAGTTGTTAAGGTGTTAGTAGTTTCAGAGTGTGGTTATGCAGTTGCAAAGGTGCTAATCGTTTCAGTGTGTGGTTACTGTATGTGGCTGCTAGAGTGTTGCTATACAATCTCTAAGAGGTTTTGAGTGGTTTTAGAGTGTGATTGTGCAGTTGCTAGGGTGTTGCTATACATTTGCTATGTGTTCTTAGTGTGTGCGCTTGCTAGGGTCTTGCTAGGTGGTTGCATACTGGAACAAGACAAAGAGCTTACAAAGGTCTATATAATTTTTTAGAACGTTATATTGTATTTATATTTTCCTTAGCAAGCACCACTTATGACAACAAACAAACAAACAAGCAAGCACAAAGGAGAACATTATTCTAGATGCTGACAAAAAACAGCATCAAGTTGGCCCATAATTGTCCACTTCAGTGACAGTGCTTTTTAGTAGTCTCAGAGGGTGTGGAAGTTTGCATCGTAATCTGTATAGTTCAGTCTGAAAGCACCCGGATCTTTCCCGGTGGCTGCTATAAATGCATTAGCATTTTGAGACAGCTGAAGTTCAGGCCATAACAGAGCTCCTGCATTGGAATGTGCCCCTAGACTGCAGCTATCAAAACAGCAGTGCACACCGCTCACTGCACCAATAAACACTGTTTTAGTGTATGCAATGGGGCATAAGACAGGAATGCGTGTGTCATCTGACAAAGAGAAACACGTAGAGAAAAGAGAGATGTGGGTTTGTGTGTTTTATGTGACACACAAAGAGATCTAGAAAGTGTAAAGGGACTACAGGAGAGATAGAAGATGATGTGTCAAAGTAAGAATATAAAAAGGATTTTGTGGAAAAAGCAATGATGTTAGATCTGAATTCAATGCCTTTTCAGAGTTAAATCCCTTTTCTATGCTGACTGACACGTTGTCTCTATGTTGCCAACAGTATATCCCTGTATACACACACACACACACACACACACACACACACACACACACCCTTAACTCCCATACGTCAATCATTGTGTTCTAAAAAGGGATCAAAACCCAATTACCCAGCAAAACTTAGAGCAAATAGGGAATTTCTCAATAGGATTCCAATGGAAGCTGAAGAGTTAATGGAGGATTTAATGTAGTTTTCCATCCTATTCTTCACCAGCTTAGATCTGTGATGAATGATGAACAGTTCATCTCATGAGAGAACACAGATGAAGTGCTGAGGAAAGATCTGAAAAGTCCTGAATGAGAGAATTACTGGGGAAACTCTTGTACATGTATGTTGGAGAGGACAAGAGTTTGGTTGAGATAAAGCAAGACATGTCTTTCATTCTCTGGGTTTTTGCAATGTCATTGTTGCTTTAATTTGACTGTTGTTCATTCCTGTGAAGCCCTGCAGGGTCAAATTCAGTCGCTGTCTTTGCTTTTTTTTTTTGGCCTCATTTAACAAATCGGCCTTCACATCAGTCGTATCTCTCTATTTCTCTCAAATTGTTTTCTGTTTAATCATGTCAGTCTTCTGACAGGGAAGTCTCTCATTTATCTATTCTTCTTGGTCTTCATTATTTCTATTGCTTGATTCCATTTCAATCGATTCAATTTAATTCAATTTGATTCAACTCATTATTTCTGATC